CGTGATGTCTGATGCGGTATCCAGATACAGCTTAACATGTTTGTCATGGATTTTCACCACAGTTTACTACGCCTGCTGACACTGCCAACTTTGGAAGTCCCCCTCACTGTTCCGGTCACACTTTAATGTCGGGAACTCATCGGAATTCGACGCTGTTTTCCGTTGCTGATAAACCGACACGCAAAACAACATGATTAATGATGCCCTCTTTAACCACACGACTAGTCACATGATTTCTGAATGGGCAGTTGCGTGCATAGTGTCACTCTCTGAAAAACCAACAGGCGGATTGGATTTAGAAGGCATTGAACTCACGTGCATTTTTTTCCGTGGTCCCCGGCTGCGGGTATTGGTGATGTCGTGGTTATTCGAGCTAGATGACTGTTGAGTCATTGTAGCATCATGTTGCAGGTTCATGATTTTCTGACACTCATTGGTCACTTCTTGTAGCGTAACCTCTGGGTTTTGTGCACCCCTGCTCAGAATCCTTGTTCTGACATCTGCATCTTTGCTCGCTTTCAGACCACAAACATAGGTGAGACATTTGTGGTTTTGGAATTTGAAGTTTTCGCATTCACGGTTCACGCGGCTCGATTCGGTAATCCAGTCTTCGTCATCTCTTTTGATCATTGTAAAACATCGGTATCGAATGCTGCAAAAATGTCGTGTGCTCCTCAAAAGTCTGCGGCAAAATGAACACCACTTCATCGAACGACAAATCAGTACACTTCTTCGGTAAGATGAAGTTTGGGAACTTTTCATGCTCGGTCGCACCCAATTTCCGTAGCATGAGACAAACTCTCTTGTCCTCCGAGACATTGAACAGATCAACACGAAACATGTATTTGTGGAACCAGAAATCAAATGTGACATCCGAGTCTGGAACTCATCAATATGCTGCGTCAGAGTTTTTCGTAAGGTAGAGCACATTCATTTGCTGCTAATACTGAGCTTGGTTGTATTGTCCATTTCGGAATCCGAATTTCAATAAGCCTGGCTTGTGTGTTTTTTTTTCATATGGTACTTGCTGTTGCTGCGACAGTGCTTGCATTTGATCAAAATCGATTGACATTTTTAGGTTCGTTTGGAAATCATCGACACTTTTGGGATCGCCACTTGCGTTACTTCTGCCTACTGTTATGGTGCGCACATGCGGTACTGCTGCCAACGGCCCTTCATGCCTTGTCCCAATCCAACCGTGAAAACAGAAGCCAAACCTGGGTAAACGGAGTGTATGCTATGGAACGGAATGGGTCTACTTATACCTCATCTAAGCTTCTAAATAAGGAAGCCTCGAACTTCTCGTCACCGGCTTCCTGGCCTCAACCAATGTGAACCCATTTCGTTTTGCTTCGGTTATCACGTTTGGTTATTTGTTCATGCTGGGGTACGGCTCCCGTATATTCAGTGGCCACCCACTCCAGTGTCACCAGCCACTCACATAGCACCTCTATTCCATATTTGGCACAATGTCGTTCGCACGATCGGTACCCACACGGCCGACGCTCACACTATTTTGCTAGCCACCCATAACGCACTCGCGTTTCATTTTTGGTCGTCTGACCACATGTTTGACATCGCGCCTGACCGGACTGTCTGCCCGGCATAGTGCAGTAACGCCGAGCGTGGGCATTCGCTCCGCTTGGCTGCCTAATCGAAACTACTCAAGCGGCGTCATTTTCACCGGCATTGTTTATTCAGATTCCGGTAGGTGACCGAACGTAACATTCCTATCATTAACGGTGATCAAAACACCAGTAGTCTTCACCACGCTGATAAGCGACAGCAGCCGCAACTGAATTCACCTTTGATGCTTTCCCATCTACTGTTGCTTGGGGCTTAAACCGAAGCGATGAAGGGGGTAGCTTGTCTTTTGGCGAGGTTTATGGACTCCCATGCGGATTCCAAATCGAATGACACACGTGGCTGTCCATCGGTATCCGCACAGGTACTTACCTTCTTCAGTTTTGCTGAGGATACCAATGTCGACACCATAAATACCTTGAAAGATTGACTCACTGTCGCTAGGAACACGAAGTGTGCCGTCCTCGTCGTTAGATTCTGGACGAAACCACAATAGTTTCATTACAAAGCCAACCTCTTGCAAACGAATTTTGAAACGTGTCCCACATCAGCTTTTAGTAACATAAGTGTGAGCTTTGGCACGTCTCGTTGTTCCATCTGATGCAAAATGGGGGGGGGCGTTGAACGATGCTGGGGAATTAGAACACATGGTTTGGTGGACTAGTAACATGCATTACTTATGAATGGAAGGATTTTGATGAGTATTTTTGTTCGTCGCAATCAGCCGACAATTCAGATATGTCGACCAGCTGTCCGGAAAGGCACCAGACGGCCGTTTCGCCCTATTCTGGCTCATCAGTGGTGCGCATCCTTCGGTCCTCTGCGGAGGATCGAACCCATGACTGCTAGTGGCTCTTGCCAACTAGTCCGCAGCTTATGCAACTGCGCCATGGAGGACGGTATCTGACCATCACGAATTGTTAGCTAAATGCGATATAGCCCGACGCATCCTCCACTGCCATGCAGATGACAGCGGTCGGCCTTCCGGCGTCAGGACTTCCCGGTTACGGCAGCTATGAATCGACATAGCGACGAACAAAAATGCTCACCAAAATCCTTCCATTCATAAGTAATACCAATTCGCCCGTACGGATTCCACAAAATGCTATGTCGATTCATAGCTACCGTAACCGGGAAGTCCTGACGCCGGAAGGCCGACCGCTGTCATGTGCATGGCAGATGCCTGCATGGCAGTGGAGGATGCGTCGGGCTATATCGCATTTAGCTAACAATTCACGATAGTCAGATACCGTCCTCCATGGCGCAGTTGCATAAGCTGCGGACTAGTTGGCAAGAGCCACTAGCAGTCATGGGTTCGATCCTCCTCAGAGGACCGAAGGATGCGCACCACTGATGAGCCAGAATAGGGCGAAACGGCCGTCTGGTGCTTTTCCGGACAGCTGGTCGACATATCTGAATTGTCGGCTGATTGCGACGAACAAAAATACTCACCAAAATCCTTCCATTCATAAGTAATACCAATTCGCCCGTACGGATTCCACAAAATGCTATGTCGATTCATAGCTGCCGTAACCGGGAAGTCCTGACGCCGGAAGGCCGACCGCTGTCATCTGCATGGCAGTGGAGGATGCGTCGGGCTATATCGCATTTAGCTAACAATTCACGATAGTCAGATACCGTCCTCCATGGCGCAGTTGCATAAGCTGCGGACTAGTTGGCAAGAGCCACTAGCAGTCATGGGTTCGATCCTCCGCAGAGGACCGAAGGATGCGCACCACTGATGAGCCAGAATAGGGCGAAACGGCCGTCTGGTGCTTTTCCGGACAGCTGGTCGACATATCTGAATTGTCGGCTGATTGCGACGAACAAAAATAGTAACATGCATCGCTAGCACTAGTTGCGGACTGGACGGCACGCTATTTCTCCACAGACGGCGAAGAAAGTCGTTACAAGGGTGGCAATGATAGCGAGCCTAGGCTACTAGGTCAATAACTTGATTGTTGTTTCCTGTCTGCCCTTTCTACTATGTGGACTTTGTTCTAGCTGACACACCTTTGATTCAACGGTTGTACCTACAAAACAATAATGTGGAGATCGGAAAAGTTTCATACCACTTGCGTTTGTATGGAAATGTTATCACAATACCGTTTTGCGGTTGAAACGATAATACGGAGTGTAAGCGGTATAATCGGTCGAATGGTCTTGTACATCGCTTCCTCTCCAGTATCAATTCAAAAGACAAAACGCGATCAATGTATGGTTCTACCTACAAAGCACATTGCAAGTTAACCGAGAACAAACGCCGACAGTATGTGCTCTCAATACTATTCCTTAGCACAAACTTACGCTTCTTTCAAACTAGCCGATAAATTTGGTTTCAAAGGACATGTATATCATTTGACCGCGCTCGTATATGCGACATTTTATGTGTCAACTTGAGCAGTGGGAAACAAACACCAGCTGGGAAGACGCGTAATAGTCGGTTACTCGCACGATCTCTTTTCATTTTAATGTTCCAGCAATTCGGATCACTGGGATCACGAAGCTATGTGCTGTCAAGTGTAGCAACCATGCGCTATTTTCGCATCATTGTACAAACAGTGGCGAGATAGATCATTGAGTTGGCTAAGATCACTGACTACTATTGGCGATGCTATTTGTGAGGTATACACATATCCATGTTCCACGGTGTTATTAGTTGATCATTGGAACAATTAAGGCAGTGAAACTGATTATCAGAGAGCATACGGGCTTGTTGGGCGTAACCCATGGGTGGATCGAGATAAAAGGAATGAGATCGAACCCACATACAAAGTTGGGATGAAAGCTTCACAGGTAAGAGCATCACAATTCTTCTTACACGGAGAACTGGGTGCATGAGAACGAATTCCTTTCGATGCGCACAGTCGCACTGAATGCGCACTAAGTCAGGAGGCAATGACAAATCAGCAGACTCGTTGTGCTTAACAGTCTGTAGATGAGAGATATTCTACGAGGAAGGATGTAGTCAATCTCAATGTTTGGTTGGATCCGAGAGATGAATCCTGTGGCCGATGCGAAAGGAACAGATTTAGCAGTTTGTCTCAACGTGCATGGCATTGCGGCAGTTGCATTTTCCAATGGTTGTCATTATGGACTGCGTGAGGTACCTTCCATTTTCTTTATCTCCAGCTAGTTAGTAGGATTGTGCATCTGTGTAAGGCACCTGTCCTTGGACGTTATATTAATGTGATGATTAAGTGTCGCCGCCACGCACTCTAATAGCCATTGGCTTCCGATTCCCATATGATCGAACATCAACAACTGTTAGTTTACACGGCGAATCCTCTGGTCCATTATTTGTGCTCATGGTTGTGTTACACTATAACATTGGTGTTCCCCTTCTAATAACTTATTCACTGTTCCTTTCCCTTGCGCTTCATCTGTGACTATACACTTTCTGTTCCCTTATTCAGCACAGCGCCCCTATACTTGTGAACAGTGTGGTAAATCGTTTTCTCGGATCTGTTATATGCGAACGCATCACCAGTCCGTTCATCTGAGTGAGTGTTACATTCATAGTGTCAATAACGTCTAGCCTTACCTCTTGCCATCGTTGGTGATGTCACGCAGCTTCACTTTCCTCAGCCATATTGCTTGCAGTAGCCCCATTTTTGTTGTTCTCACTGTTTAGAATCATGTAGTGTTTAATTTTCCAATATGGATATTATGTGCATTGATCTCTTGCAGGACTTTCGTAAGTTTCCGACTCAGTGCCGGTAGCCGGTTCACTTTTATGTGGTTTGCTCTCAAAATTGTTATTGCCTGTGTCACACCGTTCCCACGCTTGCCACTCTAAGCGAGCCAACAACTACTCTCCCTTCACGATGTAGTACCTGTCTTCCATATGACTCACCGGTGTATTGGTTATTTCACCCACCAGCACTTTATAGTTCTCTGGTTCGAGTCCGATTTCGGTTGTCTCTATGTGAACGTTGGATAGACGCACATAACTAGAAACGGGTAATAACCATCATATACTTGCTTCAAGTGAGGTTCATGTAGCTCTGTCGTGTTGGACTCTGTGTTAAAAGTTGTTACCACGCTGTGTACGACATGTTTGTCTGTATTTCTATCATCTGAATTCAACTTTTACACTTTTTATCGGTGATATCTGTCTAAAAACTTGCTTGACTGCGCGGACAGCCACAGTACGCCTCCACATATACAGAGACAACAAGTGGCTCCCGCTTCTTCACGAGCTATTCCATCTACGCCGTACGCCCTATGAAATTGCTGCATATTAATGCTTGTTATGCGAGTGTGAGTTACGGTCAATTCGGAGTCTATCTGTGCGCCGAGTCACAACATCCTTCTAGATTCGAATGAGCATGTATGCATAGGATTGACTTTTACTGCATCCCGTGACGTAGCTCACAAGGGTACTTTACAAAAACACGTCATAATTGTTTATTTTTGTAATTAGTACTTGATAAATGCTCCGATCCACACAATCACGTATCTTTGGTCGTACAACCAGTGCACTAAGTTTCTCATACGATGGTACTCACTAACCAGAGACATTTTATTTCGTAGAATGTTATATATTCCACATCAGCTACCCTCTCTTTAACCGGGCTGAAGGAGATGCCCTTCATACTAATTCAGGGTCGTAGTTTGTCTTTGTACCCCATTCCATTCACCCAGTGGTCACTTCATTCAAACCAACGCTGACTATTCAAATAATGGCGCGCGTTGTTCGGAGACTTCCGCGGTGTAATTTTGTTGGCTTCAGCCATATATTTCAAAGTCCTTGGTCCTATTCCTTCAGTTCCGTCATATCTTCCGTAATGCCATATAACACCGATTCGTTATGGCAATACGTGAAATTCGACTATGGTATAGCAGGCCCATCCTTTTTAGAGTGGGTATATTTGCCCCATCTTTGGCAATCGACCAAGCGAAAGTTGTTTGGACTGAGCAATTAGTCACCCTACCCTTTAAAATAGCGAAATGTCGCGATGGCTACAAATGCCTTCAGTTGGCAAAGGTAGATCGGGCTTTCGCATTAACAAGGGATTACTTCTCTCCGTTAGTACCGTCTGCAGAAATACAACTCCCTATGTAGACAAACTGTTCCCTAAGTAGATAAAATTATCTGGGTATTACGGCTGTGCCTGTGCTAGTGAACTGATGTAGGGAATCTGTCAATCCTTTAACTGCACTTTACACTTGGGTAGCACAAAGCACATAACATATTTGGACGCTTCAACCACTAGCCGATCAGAGTCGATTACATAACATGAGTCGTCACCGAGCAAGGCATAGATCGGTTACGCGATTACCTCGAAGGAGCTAGAGGCCAAAACTCTTCGATTCACGACAGGACGTCTTCGATAACAAGGTTGGGGCAAAACTGTCACATAGGACATCCTTGTCGCACACCACTGGCGACAGGAAGCGTGTAAACGCTTGCCGTAGGCTCTCACTTTGAAGATATAGTGTCCGAATTATAGTAGCATGAATGTTCAGGAAGGCAACGACCGTAAGGCTAGTAGTGGCGATGATGTTCGAGAAACTGACGAGGCGTGGATATTGGACGCAGCAATCTCCAACCGGGCCGAACACTGTTCTGCACCTCCAAGTGTCGTGTCTCACTCGTTCGCACTAGCCTACGGAGCATGATGGATGCTAGTGTCTTGTAGGCAACCGATGTCAGAGCAGTCCCTCTGTGTTTGTTGCATGAAGTCCGATAACCTTTTATGAAGCTTGGGTCATTTACTAGCTATCCCCACGACAAATTGTACTCTTTCTTATTGCCATATCTTCAGGAATATGGTTGTTAACTGATTGGAAGCTGTTGTGCCACAGTACATGGACAGTTTTGATCTTTAAGGATTTGAAGACAAATCACCGCTTCGGTGGACGACTCTAGTAACACTTCCCATGGATTGCGACTGGGTGTGCTAGATGCGAAAGTGGATGGCGAGGATCAAGTTATCTGAGATTGAAAATGCTCAGTCCATTTGCCCATGCGTCTCTGCAAGCTTGTGATTTACGACAATTCCACCTCCCAGGGGACTGCACTGATGCCAGATCTGGTTCCTTTGGTAATAATGAGCTGGAACAGCTTGAGATTATTTCCAGTGCGAACAGCGGCCTCCGTTTGTGAGATATGTTGAAGGCTTCTTTGAGTTGTTAACTGACAATGCGGCAAATGTCATTATGGTTTACGTTAAAAGAGAGTGCTCGGTGCCAATCGAACGTTGCCATGGAGCACGCATAGGTCCAATGCTTGTTCGGCCCGAATTTAGTCTTGCATGCCGCACGAAGTTCCAGTGGTGTTCAGTGTCAGTGGGCTAAACACAGGGTAATGTGTGGATATTTCAGCTGAGCCGACTGATCAGTTATCCTGTTCGTACCGAGTCTGCTATGCAGATACAGAACTACTCACGTTTCGAGACGCTAGCAAATGCGAATCGTCCACATTTACCTGCATAAGGAACGCATTCTCTGACCCGCAACCTGGGGACGCGCCTTTCAGTGTACAGTCGTACCACGTGATGTATATTCTGTTCCCGAGCAACAACTCATGAGATGACTGACAGAGGTGACATCACCAGCGTTCGTACCGAGTGGATCCAGCTGCGGACGTTGACACATAGCAAACCGGGTCGTTTTCGCCGGTCTTTTTTTCTGGCTCCTGTAGGCTACTAAATGTGGCATTCACGTCTTTATCGACGATCAGGGCACCTGTGTTCTTCGTACGCTGGTAAGCAACGGCCACTGCAACTAAATTCATCTTTGAGGCCTTCACATCTACAGTTGGTTATTTCTTAAACTGATGCGATGGAATAGTAGCTCGCCTTTAGTCGAGTTGCACGCATGTGGCTGTCCGCTTGTATCTAGTCGCATAGATTGCCTACATCATCTTTCCCGAGTGCACTACCGACACTACGGCTGTGGACACTAGTTGTGATGTCCTCCTCGTTCGATTCGGGACCAGAGCTCGATTGATGCTTTACAAAGCCATACTCGCAAACGCCTTTTTGTGACTTGGTCCGCAATATTTTTTAGCAAATGAAGCGTGTGATTTGCTGTGGCTGTTTTTTTCACTACCCTTCTTTCATTGGCTGGCTGGAACTGCAACTCTTCTGGTTGGTTGTAAGAACTCCGGACTGTTAAAATTGTGATGCTTTATGTTACCTCTGTGTGCATCTCTGAATTGAGTATCGATACACATCTTGATTCTTTTCTGTTGCTTTTTTGATACAACGTTTGGCATCGCGAGCCCTAAAGTGAACCTTTTCATTCAGACCCCATCACCATTTTGTACTGATGGCGGTGGCAGACCAACATCAGGTGTTGTCTCCGCTAGAAACATCCTTCCAAAACTATCTGGATTTAATGAGCGACTTTCATTCTACTCTTAGGGAGGAAAACGTATTGAAGCTGCTTCGACATTCACTCGCAGATGAGGGGCTGCGACAGTTTGCTGATTTAAGCCCAATGATGTACATCCGTTAACGAAGCTTTCGGTACTCTCGATCGCACATGGGATTATCAAATGAATGTTTTTACTGCAAGATACATTTTGTTCCGCATGCATCAGCAAACAGGCGAGCCATTGAACGGTTTCTTTGCCTTGTTAAGTCGCGCAGTACGACTTTGTGATTATTCGTAAATTCCCCAGAAAAAGGTCGGTTGTACGCTGAATCAGCAATTGAATATTGGAATCACTGACAATGGTATACATGAGACTCTGTTGCAGGAAGAGGCGTTTACATTAACGTGGGATCGAGCTTGCGAGTTACCCAGAATGAAAATTGAGATTTTACTGTAATCGAAAGAGTTACTTACGTTCGACCAACAGCTGAGGTGGCAAAGCTGCATTCCTTTCGACAATTACCGGCCGACAAGCCCTCTTTGGTAGTGCTGCTCATAAAGCTAATTTTGCCACTCGTCCGGCACACAGCCTTAAGTTAAAGAACTGAGGCAAAAGCGGGCATTACGCCCGATGTTGTCGATCGCAAACCATTGCAGTTATCAGCCACGATACTACACCTGAAAACCATATTGCTAATCTATCTCAGGCGAACACTTGTTCCATCACCGCTAATGCTGACACTTCAAAAAAATCTAACAATATCTGTTATTGAATCAAAGTTTCCCTCCGCTTATATTCGTACTGTGTCATTCGTTACCGGTAAAGGTGCCTTTCCACTTAAAATGTAACTGCTTCTCCAGTTACCATTGTACCTTTCCGATTTAACGAACGCTACCTATCCCAGCATACTTTGCAACCTACTTCGCATTCTTTTTGGAGTTCCAGTTGAAACACATCAACTATATTGGGATTCATTATCGTGCCTTTACAGCTGCATTCGGTCGCTGCGGATGTTACTGTATAGATTTCTTCAAACAGACGACCTTTATGGGAAAAAGCGTTATTGTGACTTTGCAAGTAGTACCATCTTTCGACCACATGTGTGTCTCTCCATCAACATGACATGCTGATATTAACGTTATCCGAAGCCTTCTCAGCAATCCATCGGACGTATTC